TCAGTTGGGTCTGTTGTAACATCCCCATTTCATTTCTTATTTGGGTTATTTCCATCCTCTCCTGTTTTTCTTTTGTCGGTTTGGCTAGTGGTTTGTCGATTTTGTTGAGTCTTTCAAAAAACCAACTTTTGGTTTTGTTGATTTTTTTCTATTCTCTATTTCATTTATTTCTGCTCTGATCTTTATTATTTCCTTTCTGCTGGTGGCTGTGGGCTTCTTTTGCTTTTGTCTTTCTATTTGTTCAAGTTGTGTAGCTAATGTTTTGATTTTGTCCCTTTCTTCTTTTTTTGATGTGTGCATCTATTGCTATAAATTGACCTCTGATCACTGCCTTTGCTGTGTCCCAAAGGCTTTGGTATGATGTGTTTTCATTCTCATTTGATTCTAGGAATTTTTTGATTCCATCTTTAATTTCTTCTAATATGTAGTGGTTCTTAAGCAGGATGTTATTTAGTTTCCATATAATTGATTTTTTTTTCCTTGCTCTTCCTGCTGTTAATTTCTACTTTGATGGCATTTTGATCAGAGAAGATACTTTGTATTATCTCAATGGGTACATTTAGGCCATTTAAATTCAGTGTCATTATTGATAGGTGTGAATTTTTGTTGTCATTTTGTAGTGATTTTTTTTTTTTTTGTGGTGCTGACAATTTCTTTATTCCTCTTACTCTACTGTGCTGAATTCCTTTTGTTTGTGGATTTTTTTTTCCATTTCTTTTGTTTTTTGTAGATTTTGTGTTTACTGAGAATTTGTTTTCTTTATTTTGATGAGTAGGTTTGTTAACTTTCTCTGTGGTTACCTTGAAATTTACCCTTATCTTCCTAGGTGTGAACCAGTCTATTATTACTTAGTATCACCTTGCCTTCCTCTCATTGGAAAGTTCTATACCTACAGCATTTATTCCCTGTTTTATTGTTCTGACATTGTTGTCGTTTGCAGATTAATCTCTCTTGTTCCCTGTTGTAAATCTTTTGGTTTTGTATAGTCCTTGAGAGTTCATTTCCTGGGTTGGTATCTGGTTAGTGGGATCTTATTTCCTAGATTCAGGCTGTCGTCTGATGTTGTTTGTTCTCAATCCGAAGGACTCCCTTTAATAATTCTTGTAAGTTTCGTTTGTTTTCACATAGTCCCTTAAGTTCTGTTTATCTGGAAATGTCCTAATTTCACCACCATATTTCAATGAGAGTTTTGCAGAATATATTATTCTTGGTTGGCGATTTTTTTTTTCATCCCATTGCCTTCTTGCCTGCATGGTTTCTGCTGAGTAATCACAGCTTAGTTTCCCCTCTGTATGTGACTTTTTGTTTTTTTCTAGCTGCTCTCAGGATTCTTTCTTTGTCTTTGGTTTTAGCGAGTGTGATTATAGTATGCTTTGGTGATTTTCTTTTGGAGTCTATCCTATATGGGGGTCATTGAGTTTCTCAGATGGTCATCTTTTCATCTTTCATGATATTGGGGAAGTTTTCTGTCAACAATTCTTCAATGATCCTCTCTGTGTTTTTCCTTTTTCTCCCCCTGTTCTGGAACTCCGACTATTCCCAAATTTTTACTTTTGATTGTATCCCACATCATTCTCAGGGTTTCTTCACTTTTCTCTGTTCTTTTTTCTGATTTTTCTTCAGACAGTGTTGTATCTAAGTGTTGGTCTTCAATTTTGCTGATCCTGTCTTCCATTGTTTCAAACTTACTCCTCAGACCTTCTATGACACTGTCCATTTCTGAATCTTTTTGTTTATCTTTTGGATTTCTAATTGTTGTTTTTGTATGATTTCTAGTTTTGAATTTATTTTGTCATTTTGTTCATGTATTATTTTCCTGATTTCTTCATTTTTTTGTCTGTATTTTCCATGAATTTGTCTATTTTTTCCTCATTTTTATCTGCTTTTTGCTTCAACTCTTGGATAACTCTGAATATTAGAGATTTGAATTCCCTATTAGGTAATTCTAGTGCCTTTTCTTCTACTGGAAAGTTATCTGGTGTTTTATTTTGGATGCCTACTGGAACCATCCTTCTTTTTTTTGTTTTTGTTTTTTAATATGTTTTGATATTGTCTGCTTTTTCGGGACATTCAGTAGTTATTTTCTGTGTTTATTTATTGTAGATTTATTTTTTCCTTCTGCTTTTTTTATGTCTGAGCAGGCGGGCTGTGCTTTCTTTGTTGTTTACTCATCGGTGGACACAATATTTTTCACCTCCTTGTCCAATGGACAGGGCCAGTTGCTCAGCTGTGGTGCAGTAGGACAGGTCCATCTGAAGAGAAGGGGCTGGGATGGGTTGTATGTGGCATGTACTGGGTCCGACAAGGTGAGCCTGGGGTCAGTGCAGGGTAGGTTCTGGTACGCCATGCCTGTGCTGCTCAGGAGTGCAGTCCTCAGTGCATGTCACAGATAGGCAGCAGGGAAGAGAAGGGGGAGGTTGTGATGTGCAGAGCTAGGTTGGGTATCAAAAAGAAGAGAGAGAGGAGAGAGAAACAGAGCAAAAAAAATTGCTGAGGTAGCCTGCCATTAGAGTGGAGAGATAAGAAAACAAGAAATAAGGAAAAACAAAAAGAAAAAAATAAACGCTAAAATAAATTTTAAAAAAAAATGCTCCCAGGGATCCCACTGATGCAGCTGGGTGGACCAGGGAAGCGGCTCCCAAGCTGCACAGTACAGCCTGGCTAGAAGGGGTAGAGATGATACAGAGCACCAGGTATTCAGGAGACAGTAAAAGAAGGTAAGTAGAAAGAGACAAGAAACCAAGAAATGAAGAAAAAGAAAAGAAAAGAAAAGCCCCCAGGGATCCCACTAGCTTGGCGGCAGACTGGGGAAGTAGTTCTCCAGCTAAGAAGTGCTTCACAGCCTGTCAAAAAGAAGGAAAGATGGCACATGGAGTCAGGTGTTTGAGAGAAGGGCTGGGGGGGGGGAGGTGAGAGGCAGGAAAGAAATCAAAAGAGGCTGAAAAAGGCAACACCAGCAACAAAGAAATGGCAGTGGAGAAGCTTGGGCGGGGTGAATCCACATGGCACAAACCGACGGTTCCTGTGCCGCAGTCTCAGCCAGCTGGGAAGCAGCAGATCAGCCCTCTGGGAAGGTGGGAATCAGCCCGCCTGGAAGCCTCGGATTGGCCAGCTGGGAGGTGGCAAAGGCCGAGCAGGGAAGGCAGGGTGGGGGGTGGGAAAGCGTGGCTTGCTGGTTCCTGGGTCCTCTGTCTCCTGGGAGCTCCATGAAGCTGCTTTCCTTTACTCCCTGTCTGCTGATCTCTGACAGGAGTCCAAGATGGTGGATCTGTGCTGCATTAGCTGATAGGGGACCTCTGTTCGTAACTCTCCTTGCTCTCTGTTCTCAGTCAGTTTCTTATTGCACTCGGTGCTTGGTTGAGTTCTTTATCTCTTCATTTGATGCTTAGGGTTCCAGGATTGACATTTGTCTCTGTTTTACTTAGTTTTTTTAGTCTTTGCTGTGGAGGGACAGCATGGTGCTTCTATCTCTAGTGCCATGTTGGCTCCGCCTCCGGCTGTCAGTTTTTTGACAACCTGTTATTTCATTATCTACATAAAGAGATTTTTTTTAAAAAGGCATTTGGTGCTCTCATCAAAATCAAATTCTTTATTAACATGTAACTAAGGACCTATTTCTTAACCATACAATCCCCTGAAAAAAATCACAGCAATCATATAATGAAAGTTAAATTGTAAACACAACATGATAATTTTTTTCTTAAATATTTCTTATTTTGATCATTTCTAAAATTTACTAATTTCTCATTTCCTTTGACAATCCTTTGATATTGCTGTTCCTCCACCAAATCTTATGCAAAACTTCATTATTTAATTGAAAATAGGGTTCCTTACTTCTCATTGGTTTTCTCTATTAGGATGAAAATTTCCTGATCTTAGCTAAAAAGAGGCCAAGCAGATTCTTCCCGGGTTCCATGTCCCTACTTGACTAATATGAGAGAGACATAAATTAAGTGATGTCAGTGAAAATGGAAGAGTAAGCAATCCTGAAATTGCATCCCTCCATGAAAGCAACACCACCACCAACAATAACAAAAAAAAAAAACTGTCAGAACTTGTTTTCTTTTGTTTTATTTTTTTAACATTAGAAACTAACCAAAAGTATGTGGCTACCCAGGAAGATTTAGTGAAGAAAAACTGAAGCTCTGTAAGAACAGTGAGCTTTCTTGCATGTTAATTTACTCCGTCCCATCCTCCACTCCTAGGTCGGTGGTAGTAAAATGGGAAGAAGGGATTAACAGTGGGATTTTGCAAAGAGTATCATCTGTTCTACTTAAGGAGCTAAACAAAGCTAAGATCCTTACTGTGGATTGCCTGTCTCCTTGCACTGAAGTGGTGAGCTGGAACATTATTGCTTTCACAGGAAGCTTCTACGGCACAAAAATAGGAATTAGTGTCTAATAGTAAGAGTCCTTCAAACATTAATGAGGTGCTATTTTGTTTAATCAGCAAATAACTGTTTCTCCTGTATACTCTGTGCAAGTCATTTTTCATTCCATGAATTTCAGAGTTGATATTAAAACATTGTGTCAGTAGATGAACTCATCTCAGTCAATTAGCATATTGGTAAAAAGCATAAAATTTGGAGGTAGGCCACTAACTAGTCAGGTGTGTGACCCTGAGCAATTTACCTAATCTTCTGTGGGTCTATTTCCTCATCTACCAAATTGGGAAAAAGCACTGACCTCAAAAGTTGGAAAGACTTAACACATGCAAGGTGCTGAGATGTGTGTTCCCAGCATATAGTAAGCACTCAATAAACACAAGCTACTATTTTAATGATAATGACCATGATTTATATTAGCTTTTGTGAAAAGTTATGTGAAAGTAGAAAAGGTTGAAATTGTTAGTGCTTCAATTATCAAACTACTTACATTGGGTCTTTAATTTTTTAAATACTTAGTGACAGTATGTTAAGATAAAAACAAAAGAAAGCTTTGTAATTCATATCAAAATGTTGGTATCCCTACTATTTGTAAAATTTGTTCTTTGTGTCCAAGGTCTTCGTGATGTCACATCAACAAAATATAAATCACTTTATTATACATATAAACACTTTCAAGAGCTAACGAAATCTATAGCCTCTACACTCAAATTTGACAAAGATCTTGCTAATGCTGATTGGAACATTGTTGAGAAAGCAATTATACTTCAAAACCCATATGCGGTAAGCAAGTAATATCTTTTATTTATAACCTCACAGTATAAACGATTGGCCTAAATAAGGTTAAATCATGCCATAAATATTAATTCATAATTTTTAATACTTGTAGTTGACAAGTTGTATTGGTAGTTCCCTTATTTGTCATAATAGTAAAGAAGAGGTATTTAGATATTATCAATCAATAACAAACATGTATTGCTTTCCCATTATTCATAAGGAATTTTGTGATCACTCTGGGGCAAAGTAGAAGTCACAACTCTTTTGAATATATAGACAATAAATGTTGGTAATTCAAAACAGGGAGCAGTATATTAAAGTTAGCTTCAAAAAGTATCATCAGGCCTTAGAAAATCGCTAGTTATTTTGTTTGTTTGTTTGTTTTACCAGGTTTGAGGTAGGCAGGGACCTTCATTTATTCATTTATTTAGTGTTTATTTAGGTTACTATATATGCCCAAAACTTAATAGACCCTAGCTTATGTTTAACATTATTAGGAGTTTTCTTTAATTGTAGTTTAAGTGAAAGTTCACAGTTCAAGTCAGTTTCTCATAAAAAATTTATACACACATTGTTATGTGACCCTAGCTGCTCTCCCTATAATGTGACAACACACTCCTCCTTTCTACCCCAGATTTCCCATGTCACTTCAACCAGCTCCAGTCCCTTTTTGCCTCCTCATCTCTCCTCCGGACAGGAGCTGCCCATATAGTCTCATGTATCTACTTGAGCTAAGAAGCACTCTCTTCACAAGTATTATTTTATGTCCCACAGTCCAATCTAATCTTTGTCTGAAGAGTTGGCTTCGGGAATTGTTTCAGTTCTGGGCTGACAGAGAGTCCAGGAGCCATGTCTTCTGGGGTCCCTCCAGTCTCAGTCAGACCACTAAGTCTGGTCTTACTAGAATATGAGTTCTGCACCCCACTTTCCCCTGCTCCATCAGGGACTCTCTATTGTTTCCCCTATCAAGGAGGTCTTTGGTGGTAGCTGGGCACCATCTAGTTCCTCTGGTCTTGGCTGATGGAGTCTCTGGTTTATGTGGCCCTTTCTGTCTCTTGAGCTAATATTCTTGTGTCTTTGGTGTTCTTCATTCTCCTTTGCTCCAGGTGGGTTGGGACCAATCGATGAATCTTAGACGGCTGCTCTCTAGCTTTTAAGACCTGAGACACTACTCACTAAAGTGGGATGCAGAACATTTTCTTAATAAACTTAGTTATACCAGTTGACCTATATATCCCCTGAAAACATGGTCCCCAGACCCGTGCCCCTGCTCCTCTATCCTTTGAAGTATTTGGTTGTACTCAGGAAACTTCTTAGCTTTTGGTTTAGTCCAGTTGTGCTGACTTCCCCTGTATTGTGTGCTGTCCTTCCCTTAACCTAATTCTTATCTACTGTCTAGTTAGTGAATACCCCTGTCCCTCCCTCCCCACCCTTGTATACATCAAAGAATGTTTTCCTCTGTGTTTAAACCTTTTCTTGAGTTCTTATAATAGTGGTCTCATACAACATTTGTCCTTTTGCAACTGAATAATTTCACTCAGCATAATGCCTCCCAGGTTCATCCATGTTATGAGATGTTTCACAGATTCATCATTGTTCTTTATCATTGCATACTATTTCATTGTGTGAATATACCATGATTTGTTTACTCCTTCATCCATTGATGGGCACCTGGGTTGTTTCCATCTTTTTACTATTGTGAAAAGTGCTGCAATGAACATGGGTGTGCATATGTTTATTCATGTGGTGGCTCTTATTACTGTAAGGTATATTCCAAGGAGTGAGATTGCTGGATTATATGGTACTTCTATTTCTACCTTTTTAAGGAAGCACCAAATCGATTTCCAAGGTGGTTGTACCATTTTACATTCCCACCAGCAGTGTATAAGTGTTCCAGTCTCTCCACAACCTCTCCAATATTTATTATTTTGTGTTTTTTGGATTAATGCTAGCCTTGCTGAGGTGAGATGGTATCTCATTGTAGTTTTGATTTGTATTTCCCTAACGTCTAATGATCATGAGCATTTCCTCATGTATCTGTTAGCCACTTGAATGCCTTCTTTGGTGAAGTTCCTGTTCATATTCTTTGCCCATTTTTTAATTGGGTTATTTGTCTTTTTGTTGTTGAGGTTTTGCAGTATCTTCTAGATTTTAGAGATTAGTCACTGATCAGATTTCTTGTAGCCAAACATTTTTTCCAGTCTGTAGGTTGTCTTTTTACTCTTTTGTTGGAGCCTTTTGATGCGTATAAGCATTTGATTTTTAGTAGCTCCAGTTATCTAGTTTCACTTCTGGTGTTTGTGCATTGTTAGTAATGTCTCATATTCTGTTTATGCCATGTATTAGGGCTCCTAGCATTGTCCCTATTTTTTTTCATGATCTTTATTGTTTTAGGTTTTATATTATCCAGTTTGAGTTAGTGTTTGTGCACGGTGTGAGGTATGAGTCTTGTTTCAGTTTTTTTGCAGAAGAATATCCAGTTATGCCAGCACCATTTGTTCAAGAGACTGTCTTTCCCCCAATTAACAGACTTCAGGACTTTGTCAAATATGAGCTGCTCATAGGTGGATGAGTTTACATCTGGATTCTCAATTCTATTCCATTGATCTATATATCTGTTGTTGTACCAGTACCAGGGTGTTTTGACTATGTGGTAGTATAATAGGTTCTAAAATCAGGTAGTGTGAGGCCTCCCACTTTGTTCTTCTCCTTGAGTAATGTTTTACTTATTCAGGGCCTGTTCTGTTTCCATATGAAGTTGGTGATTTGTTTCTCCATCTCATTAAAAAATGCCGGTGGAATTTGGGTCGCGATTGCATTGTATCTGTAGATTGCTTTGAATAGACTTTACATATTCACAATATTGAGTCTTCCTATCCATGAGTAAGATGTGTTTTTCCACTTCTGCAGGTCTCTTTTGGTTTCTTGCACTAGTGTCTTGCAGTTTTCATTGTATAGGTATTTTACATCTCTCGTTAGATTTGTTTTCAAGTATTTTATCTTCTTGAGGGATATTGTAAATGGTATTGATTTGGCGATTTCCACTTCAAAGTTCTCTTTGTTGGTGTAGAGCAATCCAACTAATTATTGTACGTTTAGCTTATATCCTGATACTTTGCTGAAATCTTGTTAGTTCCAGTAGTTTTCTTGTGGATTCCCAAGGGTTCTCTGTGTATAAGTTCATATCATCTGTAAATAGAGATACTTTTACTTCTTCTCTACCAATTTGGGTGCACTTTATTTCTTTTTCTAGCCTAATTGCTCTGACTAGGACTTCCAGCACAACACTGAAAAAGAGTGATGATAAACGGCATCCTTGTCTGGTTCCCATTCTCAAGAGGAATGCTTTCATACTCTCACCATTTAGGATGATGTTGTCCGTTAGCTTTGTATAAATGCCCTTAATTATATTGAAGAATTTCCCTTCTATTCCTATTTTCCTGAGAGTTTTTATCAAATGCCTTTTCTGCATCAATTGATAAGATCATGTGGTTCTTATCTTTTGTTTTATTTATGTGATGGATTACATTGATTATTTTTTTAATGTTGAACCATCCCTGCATACCTGGTATGAATTGCACTCGATCATGGTGAATTATTTATTTTATATGTTGTTGAATTCTATTGGCTAGAAATTTGTTGAGGATTTTTGCGTCTATATTCATGAGGGATACTGATCTGTAATTTTGTTTCTTTGTGGTGTCTTTACCTGGCTTTGGTATCAGGGTTATGCTGGCTTCATAGAATGAGTTTGGGAGTATTCCATCCTTTTCTATGCTCTGAAATACCTGTAGTAGTAGGGGTGTTAAATCTTCCCTGAAAGTTTGGTAGAATCCTCCAGTGACGCCGTCAGGGCCAGGGCTTTTGTTTTGTTGGGAGTTTTTTAATTACTTTTTCAATTTCTTTTTTTGTTATAGGTTTATTTAGTAGTTCTACCTCTGTTTGTGGTAGTTTGGGTAGACAGTGTGTTTCTAGAAACTTGCTCATTTCCTCTAGGTTATCGAATTGCATTAGAGTACAATTTTTCATAGTATTCTGTTATGATTCTTTTAATTGCTGTTGGGTCTGTTGCGATATCGCCCGTCACATTTCTTATTCGGGTTATTTGCTTCCTCTCTTGTTTTTGTTTTGTCAGTTTGGCCAATGGTTTATCAATATTGTTGATCTTTTCAAAGAACCAGCTTTTGGTCTCGTTAACTCCTTCAATTGTTTTTCTATTCTCTATTTCTTTTAATTCTGCTCTAATTCTTATTATTTCCTTTCTTCTGACGCCCGAGGGCTTCTTTTGCTCCTCTCTTTCTACTTGTTCCACTTGCAGGGTTAATGTTTTGATTTTGGCCCTTTCTTCTCTTTGGATGTGTGCATTTATTGCTGTAAATTGACCTCGGAGCACTGCTTTTGCTATGTCCCAAATGTTCTGGTAGGATATGTTTTCATTCTCATTTGATTCTGTGAATTTCTTTGTTCCATCCTTAATTTCTTCTATAACCCAGTAGTTTTTGAGCAAGGTGTTTTTCAGTTTCCATGTGCTTGATTTTTTTTCATTGCTTTTTCTGTTATTGATTTCCACCTTCATGGCTTTATGTTCAGAACAGATACTTTGTAATATTTCAATGCTTTGGATTTTGTTAAGGCTTGCTTTATGGCCTAATATGTGGTCTATTCTAGAGAATGTTCCATGTGCATTGGAAAATATAGTTGGTTGCTGTTGGGTGGAGTGTTCGGTATATGTCCATGAGATCAAGTTGGTTGATTGTAGCATTTAGATCTTCCATGTCTTTATTGAGCTTCTCTCTGGATGTTCTGTCCTTCACCAAAAGTGGTGTGTTGAAGTCTCCTACTATTATTGTAGAACTCTCTGTCTTTTCAATGTTGTTAGAGTTTTATGTATTTTGGAGCCCTGTTGGTGTGTATATATTTATTATGGTTATGTTCTCCTGGTGTATTGACCCTTTAATCTTTATATAGTGTCCTTCCTTATCCTTTGTGGTGGATTTTACTTTAAA